TCGTATTGACCCTGTTTGGGATTTCCGAAGAGCAGTTGGTGAGTCTGAAACACCAAACTTGCAGTTCAAACAACCTTGCATTCTAGTATATTATCCAACAATGCCATGCCAGGACTCCAGAATGTCCTGCCGGCCTCCTGTGTTGCTATTAGCATTTGGCTAAACTGTTATCTCCTTTGAAGAGCTTTCTTGAGTCCCCTATCTCCTCCCACATCCCCAAATTCAGTTAGGTGATGTGCTGCTGCTTCATTGTACTTAATAGACTTATCACACAAAGGGCACTAAAGGAGAATGATGGGTTTATTCATCTTTCCTGCAAGTAAACTGTGAGCTCCTTGAGGACAAGCCCAAATCTCTCACTCTGCTCACCCAGCACCTTAGCACTGCCCCTGCTCCATGACAAGCACACTTATTTATTGACTTCATATAGAGCTATCAGGATACCGGTAGGGAATGCCAGAGAGCGTTAAAAGATAGTAAGAGAAATCTTGTTAATTCACTTAGCATAGTTCTAAAATAAAATAATGTAGGATCAGGCCCTACCTGCAGTTTCTTGAAAACCAGGACTGTTAGAGGAGAGCTAGATAATGTCTTTGCCTTCTTGCTTTCAGTAATCATTGAGGCAGTTCTAATTCATGTGAAACGCATGAACAAGAGAAGCAAATACTGCCTGGCCCTGTTTCATAGTCACAATTGTTGATATGGTCTGCTCAAGCTCATCATTTCATCCACCATTCTGTATTTGGAATGCCTTCCGACTATGTTTTTGTTGTTGTTAGGGTCATTGAGTTGGCTCTGGCTCATAGTGACCCTGTATTGGATTTCCATGGTTGTACATCTTTGTGGGAGCAGAAAGCCTTCCATGAAGTGGCTGGTAGACTCAAACTGCCAGCCTTGTGATTTGAAGTCCAGTGTTTATTTATAGAGCCAATATGTTCCCCTCTAGTACGTTACAGAGACAAGATTCTGCTGTGATCCCTAGGGTTTTCATTGACTAATTTTCAGAAATAGATCCCTAACTCTTCTGGTAGCGTAGTGGTTACGAATCGGGCTGCGAACCTTAAGATCAGCGGTTCGAAACTACCAGCCGCTCCGCGGGAGAAAGATGAGGCTTTCTACTCCCGTAAAGATTTACACCCTCGGAAACCCTGTACAGGGTCGCTATGGGTCAGAACCGACTCGAAGGCACTTAACAACAACAACAACAATTTTCAGAAATAGATCCCTAACTCTTTCTTCCTAGTCTTTCTTAGTCTGGAAGTGCCACTGAAACCCACCCACCATGAGAAACCTTGCAAGTACTTGAAATACCAGAGGTGTATTGCTGACAGCTCCATAGCAACATACAAGCGCCCCACAGTGGACTTATTTATCTTAGGTACTTTATACTGATATCTTCAGTATGACTTTTAGTATCAGAATTGCTTGAACAATTGGAATAGGTCTGTGTTTTGCGGAGACATATGTCAAAATATCCCACAGAAATCTCAGTTATTTGTCTCCCTTCTCTGGCTTAGCCAGAGAAATCAAGCAAGTCCTGAGTCTTTGTGTGGCCTCCTCCACAATTTATGTGTGTAATTCCTGGGCAACATCACAAATGCTGAGTGCACTGTCTTTCTTACAACCACCTTAGGACAAACCAGAGAGAACTCCAAACTTCAGGGGTGATCAATTACTACCGTAACTCTCTCTGCTCATCCTTCAGCTTCCTTTCTTGCTGTGGCTGAAAAACTCAAATCATAAAACTCTATGGTGCACCACAGTCCTACAGGAGACACCTGAATCTTAACCTTCCTGCAGAAAACCTGGTGTTTGGATTACTACTGCCCGCTAGAGAAATTATTGTCAATGACCCCATTATTCCTGATTACTCAAAATGTTCCCTACCTACCTGAATGTAGATAAATGCTGAGAGGGTTCTTCATTTTCTTCATCCTAAAAAATCTACAACTCTTAACAGCAGAACATGCGCTGTAAATAGCATCAGATTGCGAATTAAATCTTTGCAGTGTAATTGGATACATGTCCTAAGCTAATTTTAATTGCTTCAAGAAACTGCTTCACATTGTAGATCAATCCCGAGGTCCACGATGACATTTCCCTTGCAAAATTAATTATTAATATCCTGATCATTTGCTTAAGACATTAATAGTTTTCATTGATCAGCACATCCTGTTTATCTAAAATGGCCTAATCACCATGCATGTCAGAGGAGTATCTGAACAGATCCAATTAGAGGCACTGCCCGCATTCAGCCACATCAGCAGATCAGAAGTTAAGGGTCCCTTTTGTCTTCACAGCATATTAAGTGTAGCTTTATCAGAAACTGAACTGTTTCAGGGCACAAAAGAAAGGCGAGTCTCTAGTGATGGTTCTTCCCTTTTTATTAGACTCCTGGTAAATATCAAGGCTACTCAATTACCATGTGTTGTAAATTAATGCAAAGAGCTCCTGATTAACTAGATTGTATTGGCCACATGTTTTCATATCAGCCTATGTTCACTCATAGCAATTTCCTTAGGGATGGGAGTGAGCTGAGAGGAACTAGATATTTACTAGCTTAAAAATATTGGGGTACAGCAGGTGTTTCTATGGTACTTTATAGTTTTCAGAGAGTTTCATTTACTTAATCTAGAGATTTTCCTTGAAACCACATTTACAAAATAGCAAGGTAGGGTAATTAAACCAGGACCACACAACTTATTGCTGAAACTAAATAGAGTGCATCTCCAAGTTCCTTAGATTTCTCGCTTAGTTGATTAACTGATGATTCTGCCCCGCCTGCCCTGCTCATCTTTTATGAACGATGAGGACACATTTCCTTTATGTCATTGTACAGGCCAGAATGGAGTTTCTTTCTACCTTAAGAATGATCTATCTTGTCTATGGTTTGGCTAAAAGTTGAAGCATTGGGTCATGAATTCATTTCTGAACCTGAAGAATGAATAAGGTCCATAGACTAGGGACTTCCACCAATCTCTGTCCCACCAGTAAGCTTGGTCTTCTTAATGGTTTTGAGTTTTGCAGTGGTTGTTGTTATTGTTGTGTTTCATGGACTCATAGCAACCCTGCACAGGGTTTCCGAGGCTGTAAATCTTTTACCGGAGCAGAAAACCTCATCTTTCTCCCACAGAACAGCTGGTAGTTTCGAACTGCTGTCCTTGAGGTTTACAGCCTGATTCGTAACCACTACGCTACCAGAGCTCCTTCTGATTTCAGGGTTGTGGAGACTGAGGTTCATTTCACATCCTCCATTAGTCCCTTGGACTAAGTGTTACATGAACAAATTGTGAGTTATACACTCCTTAGAACAATCAATCACAGGACATCAAAATGGCGGTATCTGCCCAGGAATAAAACTCAGAGGCAGAAATGAATAAGAAATAAGGTCGAATGGAAATAGTAAACGTATGAGAAGTTGGAAGACTGCTGTTACACTCAGAGATTGCAATCATTGTCACAAAATAAAATGTTTAATGATTGTTGAGTGGAAAACCAATAGCTCTGTAAACTTTCGCTGAAATCATAATAAAAAGTAAATAAAAATGATTAATACATAGCAAAATAAAAAGTGTTGTTAAGTGCCATCAAGTCAATTCCAACCCATAGCAACCCTATGTAGGGTTTCCAAGGAGCAGCTGGTGAGCTTGAACCACCGACCTTGCAGTTCCAAATGACTTTGCAGCCTGATGCATTTGCCCACAAAGCCACACCAGGACTCCAAATAAGATGTAGAAAGTACATAAATATGTAACATACATTAAGAGTAATGCAGCATGTGGCCATGGTATGACGTGGGCAATTGCCTACTAGAGTACTAGATCTTTTGGAACAGAGATTGTGTCATACACGTTTGGTTAGTTCAATGTCTCATCTAGTGTCTGGCAGGCAGAAGGAAATGAATCCATGTCCATGGCCGGCAGGCATCAAGGAGGGGAGGGAGGAGGAATGGGTGAATAAGAGAAAATGCATGGACCCCTATGTTTTATTAAGTTCATGTTGAAAACCCTCTGCATTTGAGGGTAATCTAGTTTTGTTGGGTTCACCTATGCTGAAAGATGTTTTCAACTGTTTTCCCACATTTAAAAACTTTATTTTACATTTCCATGATTTTCAAGATACAGTGTATACTATTTTAAACTCCTCTTTAAAAAGCTGTGGAGTCTTCTGCAACACTGGACTGTTCACTCCATATGTCAGCCATCCGCCCTAGCTGAGGGGTACCTGCCCCCTTGAGACAGGAAATGCTTGGGTACTCCTGAGTGTCATGTCTGCTGCTGGTTTTACTTATGTCCTTATGTGCTTGGGAGTATTTGGCACATAGAACTGGCAGTCTCTCTAGCATGGAATTTCTGTGTCTTTAAAGTCCTGGTTAATGGAAGAAGCCCCGTTCTTAATCATGTCCTGTGCAAATAGAACCTACTAAGCAGCTACTTCTAATTGGCAGGACTTCTCTACCAATTAAGCATTGGAACTGTGCATTTTCTTTTCATTTTAGATATGAAACGTGGACCATAGAGGGAAGCTAGCTGTTTGAATAGATGGGGTAGTTACACATTTCATCACATAACTGCTTTCTAAATAATTGGAAATTTCTACTTAAAGTCCCTTAGTGTTTAACTTGCCTGTGGCACTTCTTCCATATTGACTTTTGGGGGGTATATTATTCATTGGAAAATAAATAACAGTGACTGGAGGGAACCTGGAAGGCATAGTCCATCTCCCTAACTTCAGGGTGGTTCGCTGATACTCAAAAGCTGTTCTCTTCACTCAGTAGCTACAGAGCAAACCAGCTCTGATCTCTTCCCCAAGTATTCTCTTAAAGAAGTGAATAGGAGGCTCATCTGCCTTGTGTTCATGGTTTACCACGCATCTCTCTTCTTCTCCTTCAGTAGTACTTTTCCATAAGAGAACTTTATTTGTATTCAAGTAAAGATGAATTTACAGAGACCACAAGATGTATTCCCAAGTCTCATTGTAATGTTTCTTCTTTTCTACAGATTAAAGGTTGTACAAAACTTAAAAGAAGCATCAATTCTACTCACTTGTTATTGGACTTGAAACTCCTTTGACCTCAGAAGTTGAAGATGAGGTTGCCATGGGAACTGCTGGTACTGCAATCATTCATGTTGTGCCTGGCAGGTAGAGTGTCATTTTAAAACTTTTTGATTTAAAAATGCCACTGTATTTCACACTAATTCAAAACTGGGCCTTCACTTTAGATGGCAATGATAAAATTGTAAAAGTCCCCACGACTATGATGAGTGTTTGCTGACTCTGTTGAATATACCTTCCTTATGGTCTTTTAGTACCTTTTTCTTGGTGTTGTACCTAAAGCTAGGCACTGATGTTTCACCTGTCCATCTGCAACTTTAAGAGTCATTTGAACTATTATTTAGTTCCATAGTTGTTATTTTTGCTTATCCCTGTGTTCAAATACACAGAGGTATAAAGCAATAAAACTGATACTGTAGTCTGCATTGTTGTGTATTTGGATATCAGAGAATGGAAGTTGATGTGGGCAGCTCTGTCAGTATCTCTGTTGGTATCTCTCCATCTTTGGATTCTGATGCCCTTTTGTGTTCATTCTAACACACCTATAGTTTATTAGAAGTCAGAAAGGAAAAATGCTGGAGGCTTTTATTACTAGGAAAAGGGATTGAAAAGTTCAAACGTACTGTTTATTACTGTCTCAGTTGTCCGGAAGATGTGGGCCTAGCAGTTGCCAAATATCATTTAAATGTTCCTGGTTCATTTTTACACCTAGGAGTTGGTCTCCAGGTTAGTTTGATGGGTATATCCTTTCAGGTCTTTTTGAACTGACTCCACTTGACTTGCTTTGGTATTCAAAACCTGAACTTCAGCAGTGTGTACCTCTATCTCTTCTATTCACTCAGTCTTTTGTAGAGAATCAGTATATCGACTGGATTTTTTGTGTGAAACTGCTTTACATGACATCAAAATCTTCATTATTATAACATCAAAACAAAACATTGGGATCACCATTATTTGGATTCATATGTTCATTCAAATGATGTTATTGGGTACCTTATAATGTCCCAGCCCTGTGTGGAGATCTGGGAACGGAACATAGAGCCATTCTCTAGCTTGCGAACATCCCACTCATGGACAATTCCTACTTGTCCTTTAAGGTTATGTAAACTTGCCCTCACTTTGAAATCATTGAACCAATCCCTACTCACAGTAAATGTGTCAACAAAATCACCTTCACTTGCTGTACATGCAACTTTTAAATCATGGGAAAGGCTTTTGCCGTTTTCTTGTACTAACCTATCCAATGGCATCACGTTGATTTGACTCATAGTTGCCCTGTAGCACAGAAAGGCCAGAGTAGAACTGCCCCATATGGTTCCCAAGGCTGTTAGTCCTTACAGAAGTAGACTGTTATATCATTCTCCCTAAGAGCAACTGTTGTTGTTGTTGTTGTTGTTGTTGTTGTTGTTGTTGTGAAGTGTCATCGAGCTGCTTCCGACTCATACTGAGGAGTGGCTGGTGAGTTTGAACCGCCGACCTTACAATCCAAACAACCTTTCAGTCCAGTGCTTATCCTACCATGCCACAACAGGACTTTTGAATGAGTAACCTACTGTTCATGCCTTTGTGTCGGTTTCCACTCCTAACAACCTCATATAGGGTTTCTGAGGAGCAGCTGGTGAGTTTGAACTGCCAAACTTGCAGTTTAAACTGACCTTACAGTCGAGTGCTTATCCTTCACCAGGAGTGCAATGAGCAAGTAGTGGGCTTACAAGGCTGATTTTTTGGTTGGCGGCTGAGTACATTAGTCACTAGGGTCACCTGGACTTGTCATTTTGCACTAACAACAAATTAAAATCTTTCAGCACCTGTTTCACCTTACCTACAAATTTAGCCTAGAGACACACTTAGGAACAGATCTCATTCACAATGTGAGTGCTACCAATAATCTCAAACAAGAGAGACATCGTCACAACTTTCTGAGAGCAGTGTTTACTTAGATAACTGACAGCTTGTTACAGTAGATTATTGACGATTGTCGTAAAGTGTAGGGTCATAATGGGAGTAATGGGAGCACCACCATGTATGGATCCCATACTTAATGCCAGACATGGACTATGCTTAGTCCATTCTCCCATAAGCTCTACACTTTGCCTTAATGGGGATCACAATAACCTCCTCACTCCCTGATGGACATTTTGGCACCTAGCCATCTTTTTTGAAAGATGTTGCTATTGATGGTCACCAGTGTCCAGCCGGAACCTGAGCCTTCCCTCCAGCAGTATATCCAATTCTAGGACATTACTTTCTTTGCTCTACTTTTATTGTGCATTTTGCACCTCCTGAAGGGAACCAACCGAGATTCCTTGGCTCTAACTTCTCATAACAACTCTGGGGTAGTCATAGTCCTTAGATTTGTTGTTGTTGTTGTGAAGCACTGTCGAGTAGATTCCAACTCATAGTGACCCTGTATAGGGTTTCCTAGGAGCAGCTGGTGAGCTTGAACTGCCAACCTTGCAGTTCAAATGGCTTTGCAGTGTAGCTCATTAACCCACAGCACCACACCAGGACTTTGACTATGTTGTTGCTATGAGATGTTGTCAAGTCTGTTCTGACCCCTAATCACCCTGTGTGCAGCAGAATGAAACATTGTCCATTCCTGTGCCGTGCTCACCATGGTCACATTCGAGTCCATTGCTGATGCCATTATGTCAATCCATCTCTTTGGGGTCTTCCTCTTATTCACTGACTACTGCGTGAGTTTATTTACAGCATCCTGAGTAGATATTAAAAACTTAAAGGGCTGAAAATCAAAGAATCCATTAATCTCTTCAGTTTTGTTTTAAAAACCTCGAATGCTCACCAGAAGTATATGCCTGTATCTCTTATATTCACTCAGCTTTTTGGAGAGAATCAGTATATTGATTGTTTTGTGAACCTTTTGTGTGAGTGTGTGAACTGTTTTGCACAGCATTAATATTCCCTTACCATATGCCTTCTTCAGCGTAGGTAAAGTCAAATTTTAATGAATGTTTTTGTTTTCTTGCTATTTGTCTTGATTTCATTAATTTACCTAGTATGTGACACTCTGAATTTTGAACAGATTTATTTAACTGCTCATTCTTTTACTTTTGTTTATCTTCCATAATGTTTCTATACTCTGTTAGTCTTTGAATTTTTTTATGAGTTTTGTTTTTGGCAAGGAAAATATTTATGTCTATTATCTTTAACACAATTCATGAACCCTAACTAGGCTTTAAAAAAACAAACAAACAAACAAAAAACTTCTCCGCAAATAAAATTGTTGTTGTTGTTGTTGTTAAGTGCTGTTGAGTCAGTTCTTACTCATAGTGACCCCGTAGAGGGCAGGTGGTGAGTTTGAACCTCCAACTTTGCAGTTCAAATGATCTCACAGTCCAGTGCTTATCCTATAGTCAAATAAGATCGAGTATTTAAATATACACCTTGCAAATCTGCTAATTATTAGAGGACATTGATTAGTGATTTAGTATGAAATGGGAATATTCTTCTATTTTCCCAAATGCTAAACCAGCCCCAGGTTAGAATTTTCTTTAAAAATACTATTGAAAATTCAGTCTCCATGAATTAGAACTTTATTGTTCCCCCCTCTTTTTAGTATAAAGCAGGGACATAAAGCAGTACAACCAAAATGAGCAAAGATTCTAAAGCATTCTTAAAGAAATTAAAGGGCTGTAGAAAAAAACACTGCACTGCTAACCTCAAGGTCTGTGGTTCATACCCACCAGTCGTTCAATGGAAACCCTGTGCAGGATTGTTGTGAGTCTGAATTGATTTGACAGCTCTGGACAACAGCAATATACTGAAATAGGGAATGGCGATGAGCCCTGGGAGGGAGGTACAAAGCACTGTCCAGCTGTAGGCCTCTGTTCCAGCTTTTTGGTTTTCAATAGAAATCTATTCATTCTTTAGTCTTACTAGCTAATACAAACCATTCATACAAGTAAATAATCGCTGAAAAAAAAACCCCGAAATGATCTGTAAGCTAAATGTGTTTCTAGTTGACCAGTGTATGAATCCATCTTTACATACTTGCATTCGCTTTGATGTTAGTCCTAGTGCCAACTTACTTTGACCTAAGGGCCTTTGCACTAACTTCCTTTTACATAGAATCTTCTTGCCCTGAATGCTATCAGGACTCATCCGCCTTTTGATTTTCTTTGGTCTGGTGATTAAACGTCACCTAATTGATGAGGACTTAAGATCACAATAATTAAAATAGCAGTATTCCCTCTGGGATTCAGTTTGTACCTCTATATGATGAGATGGTTGAACAAATGCTCTCTAAAGTCCATTTTAACTCTAAAAACATACTATTTTATCAGCACACATAGTTTGAGAGGCATATATGTATGCTGATTGGATTAGAATGAAGCCAGAGACTTTTATTCAACTAATAGGGGATTCCACATAGGTCAGATGCTTTTCCATATGTTACTAATTCTGTTCACATTGGCACAATGTGAAAGAAAGAATACAGACTTATTCAGATGTTCATATGTTGCAAAAGGCATGAAGACATTTTAAAAACCTCTGCGAAGGAGAGCAAAACTATGTGTTTGATGTATTCTTGGTTAGTCTTCATTTCAAGGAAGCTAAACTTGTTCCCATCTATTTGGTACAGTTTACCAATTCCAAGAATGATCTCTTTTTGAGAAAGTGCACCCTCTCCAAACACAAGAATTTCGCTGACTGGTTCACAGAATCTATGATGTTGGTACAGCTGTGTCTGGGGGTAAAGAGTGGGAGACAGGTCCTCCGTAACTGAAGGGAGTCATGCTCCGGGATTGGTGAGTGCTCCCAGAATCTGGAGCACAGAGGAGCCTCTGTTCAACAATCAGTTGAATGATTGATATGACTTGAATCTATGGTAGCAAAATTTGTACACCAAAAGTCAATGCCTGCAATGACAAGGAAGGAAAGAACGTTCAGTATTCTTCCTAAGGTATTTCAGTCTTGTTGTTGTGAAGTGGCGTAGAGTCAGTTTCGACCCATAGCGGCCCTACATAGGGTTTCTAAGGAGCGACTGGTGAGCTTGAACCACTGAGCTTGTAGTTTAAACGGCTTTGCAGTCTGGCGCATTAACCCACAGCGCCACACCAGTCTTA